GCGAACCAGGAACGCTCTGCTATACTTGTGCTCTTTCGGCTTAAGGGTGCGAATCCTTTCGCCACTCGGTCTATGATCTCTTTAACCTTAATCCCTCACACATGGAGCTATTCTGGAGCCAAGTGTCCACCCTCTTATTTGTTTGCGATGTCCATATGCATTGGTTTTACTAACCACTGGCTCTAGAATACGAGTCCAACCGTTCTCGAACGAAATCTGAACCAGCCGAAATTCAACACAGGGACTGCACGGAACACCACTCACGCCCGAACACCGAACACTGAATTTCAAGGACTTATTCAACTACATTTTCGAGGCTCAGGTTCCAAGCCGTCGTCGACCAGCGGCACGATACCTCCATCTGATGCAAACTCTTTTCCACATCATAACTGGAGGAAACAGGGGTTCGACCGACGGCATGAACACTTGTGGTCATTGTTTTTCTCTCGATGGCCTCTGATATTTCGGCCGATGCGCACATAGTTCCAGTCCTCGCGAGCGAAGTTGTGATACTCCTCGAGGCCCCTGGCCTCCGAAATAACCTCATTCTTTGTCCCGCTTACTCCGCTGTAACTGGGAGTGTACAAGCCGTCGTCGACCAGTGGCAGGTCACCTCCAATACATATTTCGGCCACCGCGCGCATACGTTTGGAGGAACCGGGGGTTCGACTCCCCCCGATAGCGTAGGATTGCGATGTGTTCTTTTTTTTCTCCCGATGACTCGCTCACTGGACGCCGGCCGCCCCAGATTCTTCGCGGTTAGCCAGGCACAATTTAGAGGATATAAGCCGTCGCTGTTCGTGCCTTGTTCAATGGGTTAAGGCAATTTCATTCCTGTTAGGCATTGCATTGTGCGGACCGCTTACGCACGAAGCCCAAATTTCAAGGACGTATTCAGCTACATTTTAGAGGATCCAAGCCGTCGTCGACCAGCGGCAGGTCACTTTCGTCAATTCATCTTTCGGTCAGTCGAAAGGATAGAAAGAGGGTTCGACTCCCCCCGACGGCATAGGTCGTTTTCTCGATTTCTTTTGTTCTACTTTCAAGTTTTCAACTTAGTGCTTATGCGCTCGAAACATTCAATCGATTGACACATCCTCTCTGGAATTTCGAGTCCATCAGATCCCGCATTGACACTCACTGGGAACTCGCGGAAATTCAACCCTCACCGAGCCCATTTCTTTAATCATTGATGCACCCTGAAGTCCCCTCAAGCCGTCGTCGTGGCTGGGCTGGTTGCCTTCAGACCTTGATTAGATCCAAACTATGGATGAGCAGGAGCTGGGTGTTCGGCTCCCCCCGACGGACTCCTTTTGTTCAGCTCAAGGCAACTTCGCGCTAGGCGTCCGGCCACTTTCCACTGAGTCAGCAATTTAGCTCTCTCTTGCAGCGTTCTGGATGTTGGAATTGCACGTTGAACCTCCAAAGTTAAACATCGGCAGCCACTCTGACATATCCTACCTCACTTCTTGACTCTCCCGGACCACCAGCTCCTCGCAGCTCCACACAAGCCGTCGGAGACCATCGGCCGGTCACCTTCACAACTTACTTTGGCCCCTTAGTAGTTTGAAGATGTCGGATGAGTTTCTGAAGCGAGCGATGTCATTGCACATCCCTCATACGAAGCCGTGACAAATCTCTGCGGCGTTTGTTGATGACGTCGAAATAATTAACAGTCTCTGCCCAGCGGATCTCACCCCATTCCTGCCAAGAGATGTCTTCCCCTGCCCATGGAACAACATACTGCTGGGCTTGGCGAGATGTTTCGAGCTTGTTACAGTCAGGTGACTATGCAGCAGCGCACTTCCTCCGCGCATTGAATTGTACGTCAGCATGACGCTTAGGCGCCGCCTGTTGGGTTACTGACAGCGGCGCTCTGTCCCCATCTGTGCAGTCTATTTTATAACACACGTTGCCTCGGGTTTGCGGTACAAAGTGGATGTTAGGAGCCTCCGCATCATACCAGCCCAGCCCATCGCGACTTAGAGAGGTGAATTGAACGCACATAGATCATCCTTTGCCAAGGAACCATAAAGCTCTTCCTTTCATGAACGTCGTGACGTCAGTGCTATCCCTCAATGAGGAAATAAATAGCTCCACAGATCACGTAGTGCAAATCTCGAGGTGACATCTGACATGGGAGAAGTACGGTTTCCCTTGCTGCCCGACCACGTCGATGCAATGCCCAGGAGCTCCACTACTCCACTCTTGGCGACCACGGTGAACTTCTTTCCTAGTACTTTGCGGCTCCGACATCCTCTGGAATCGCGGGAAAATGTGGCAGAGCACAGTATAAAAGCAACGCAACTCTACTCCTAATACTCACTCGAACACATCCCTCCGTCGTTCAAACTCTTTAAACAATGTTCTCCAAACTCTCTGTCGTTGTCACTTCGGTGCTCATTGTACGCTACCATTCATATTTCGGGCCTCCATCGCACTGATCAATTATTTGCAAAGACCCTTGCAGCCGCCATCCCGACCACCACGCCCCCGGTGACTCCCCCGAGCTCGAACCAGTGCTGCAACAGCGTCCAGTCTTCCAGCAGCAGCGCCGTCTCCGCGGTCGCCGCCACCCTCGGCCTCGACCTCAGCGGCCTCAATGTCCCCATCGGCCTCGGCTGCAGCCCCATCACCGTCATCGGCAACAACTGGTTAGTCCTACTAATTTCCGGAACAAAATCCGAAGCTGACGTACACTGCCAGTGGCGGAACCAAGGTTACTTGCGACGCGCCCGACAAGCAGTGGGGCAGCCTCATCGCCATTAACTGTATCCCCATCACTCTCTGAGTGTCGGGATCTGTGAAGGGTGGAAGGGAAATCTCGGTGTTGATGTTGAGAGGTTTCTGTCGTGGCCTGTTTTAATCTCTACGTTCCGTGTTAAGTGTCGCGAATAATACGTCTTTTGTTACCTATTTCCGCTGTCCTGAAATGGTTGGTCAGATAGCTCGGAGGCCGGCATTCTCGGCGTACCGATGCCGGGAACGAAGATTCAATTTTTTTCTCTCCTTTCATTTGCCGTTCCCTAAGTTTAGTTTCACTGTCTACCGTTAATGGTCGGCAACAGAATCCAGGAAGGACCTGGCTTCCAGGAGTGCCAGAAACTTGTTGCAGAAAGACCTGCTGTGGGGCCCCAATCAGTCGGAGGTTTCAGGGAGGGTGCCGATGTCATGCCGAGATCGTTTCTTCCCCACGATCTGTCAGTGACCTGGGAGCGCGGGATATTTAGCAGGCGCAACCCTGGCTCATGACATTGGAGGGCAGTTTCGGCGTCAGACGTCTTCCTCGCGTGCAGTCTAGTTGCACGAAAATTTAACGCTCCACTCAAGACAGAACATTCAGTGGTGAACTCGGCAGTGGCGTCAGGTAAAGATGGTTCCAGGGAGCTCCGGCGAAGCGCATGGATATTTACCGCGTATGGCATGGCAACCGAACCCCATCCTGTGACAGTGATCACAGGGTTTGCTAATGTCGGAATGCATATTTATTGCTGAGCACACTTTGTGAGTCTGCCGGTTACCACAGGTCAATCCAAACAGTTCTCCCGCACCCTTTTGCGCGGCCGCCGATGTGTCAATGCGATAGAAGTGAATGAAGGTTGATTTCATTTACAGCCGTTCTCGGTGCGTGTGAAGGTTGGTAATGGACATGCCTCATGCTCGCTGTACAGTTTGAGCACCAAAGCTACCCAGGAAGGAAAATACTCATCCGAGGGCTGGATGGCTTCACCTGGAAGTCTTAGAGGGATGTGTTCGAGTAATTACAGTTCTCTTCTTTTCTGTCTTTTCGACGCAGTTCCCTCTCACAGTCCCACCACATGCAAGAAAATGTGCTCCTTGGGTGTCAGCTACCTCAGCCACTAAGTCGGCGCCGCATCTATTCGTGACTCTTCGATTGGTGTGCAGGCTTTGCTGCCGGCGCCCGCCATAAAATGCAGTCGGCTAGAGTGTACTTGGTTAGGGTGAAATAGACTTCAGAGTTAATATTGGAACCGCACAATGGCGCGGCGGCATCAAGGGTCGGTCTTTGCGCTTCCGAACTTTCCTGGGGTCATCGGCAGACTTTACCGACCAAGTTGATTGTGCCGGCACCGAGCTACGAGAATTCAGCCAAGGCAGCAGGGCCTCTTAGGCTCTGTTTCCCCAGATCTCCGGCCGGAAGGAATTATATGTTCGGCTGCAACGTGGAATGATGCGAATAGATCCCACCATCGGATGTGCGTCCAACCTTTCTCGCACGAAGTCTGAACCAGCGGAAATTCAACATTGTGACTGCACGGACCACCGCTCACGCCCGTATTCAGCTATATTTGAGAGGTTCCAAGCCGTCGTCGTCGACTAGTGGCAGGTCACCTCTAACATCTGATTCAGGTCGTACATGTCCCATGACTCTCACTGAGGCGACAAAAAGCGGGTCCTCCAACACATGCCGTCGGTGGGAATCGAACCCACGGTTCCTCCACTATGGTGATATTTGGGTGGGCTAATTGTTGGAGGTGACCTGCCACTGGTCGACGACGGCTTGTACACTCCTAGTTACACCTGAGTAAGTGGGATAAGAAATGAGGTTATTTCGGCAGGGGGCTCCAGGAATATCGCAACTTCGCACGCGAGGACTGGAACTATCTGCGCGTCGGCAGAAATATATGAGTCCAGCGAGAGAGAAACAATGCTCGGATCCACCATGCCGCCGGGGGGATTCGAACCTTCATCTCCCCAATCATACGCGTACAGGTGTTTATCGCTGGGAGTGACCTGCCACTAGTCGACGACAGCTTGGAACCTCTGAAACGTCGCTTAATACGTCCTTGAAATTGGTTTCCAGTTCTCGGGCGTGAGCACTGGTCCGTGCAGTCCCTGTGGTGAGTTTTGGCTGGTTCAGATTTCGTGCGAGAACGGCTGGACTCGTTTTCGAGAGCTAGTGGTTAGTAAAACGTATGGACATCGCAAACAACAAGGGAGTGGGAAACTGGACAAAAATATATTTCACCAGACTTCCATGCCGCCGGTGGGAGTCGAACCCTTGCTTCCTCCGGTCACATCTCGCAAGGGCTAATTGCTGGAGGTGACCTGCCACTAGTCAACGACGGCTGAGAACACTGGCAGGTAATTTGCCCCTGAATACGTGAGCGAAATTCAGTGCGGGCTACTGCGTGAGCGATACTATAAGTAATCTTTGGATTGTAAATGTCTGTTCACCAACAAAACAAAAAAAAATGAACGGAGTGTATTCAAGCCGTCGGGGGGAGTCGAACCCCGGATCATTCTGTACAATTGAACAATGCACAGAGTCTTGCTTCGTTGTATGCGCATCCTTGCACACCGATCCATGATTTACACCGAGGGTCCAAGCAACGGTATAACGCAACCTCAGAGAAAAAGTGAAACGGATCCACAATATCCCCATGGTATTGGTAGGAATCGAACCTACGCCCCCCCATCCCTACTTATCAAAGGTATAAAACGTGAAGGGAATCTACCACTTATATACGACGGTTTCTCTCATACCTGTAAATGCGGGTTATGGGAGAGCGATTCAGAGCGTTGACTGGGCGACCGCACTGCCGAAAAAAACAAGCGGAAAGCACTCGAGAAGACATCAAGATAATACCATCGGTAGGAATCGAACCTACGCCTCCTTCTGAATATCATCCAATGCGCGTACCTAGAGCGTGAAGGGAATCTGCCACTGATATACGATGGTTTCTTTGAACCTTCTTAGGGCACATTATCAAAGAGCGATCGGCGCTTTGACTGTGCGACTGCACCGTTGAGAAAATAGGGAAAAATGGGGACAGATTTCAGCCGTTAATATACCACCGGTACGTCCGTCCCAAAAGCTCCTGTTCCAGGGTGCAGAGTGCCAGTGGGAGGACAATCTTCCACTGATATACGATGGTTTACTTCGAACTTTGGATGTGTACGGCCGTTTGCAGAGACATAATTTATGTTGAAACATGTCCTGAACCCTTGCTTGGCCCACGAGAAATACTAAACCTGGTAGCGCGATAGTGTGCGACTGCACGACTTATAATTAGGAGACCGCCCCAGTTGAACTGCCAGAAATTACCGAATCAACCCTCACTGCCACCCCCTGTCTTGACTTCCCTACGTCATCGTGCTTGAATTTCTCCTCCAATCCCATCTCGCTTTCGTTTACAACTCTCCACGATGCCTGCCGCTGTGAACCTCGTCCCGACAATCGAGTCCACGGAACTCCCATCGACTCCAGCAACCGAGTGGGCCACGAACATGAACTATATGTTCGCCTACACGGATGGGAGCGCGGTGCAGACGCCGGACCCCGCGATGCCTGGGGCATTCCTGGAGGAGGCCCCCTGCACGAGCGAGCGTCGCGTCGAAGCGGATGTACAGAGCGCGGGGTATTTAAACGGTGCGTCTGTTGAATGTTGGCTACGCGCGCGAGGCATTGAGCCTTCCGTGCAGCCGTCGCAGCAGAGCCAACGCTGCCCGTGAACCGCTTGCCCTCGCCTGCGCTCAGCACGATCGTGCACACGGGGGACTCTGCCTCCGACACTGCCATCCCGCCACCGTCCCCCTCGGCAGCGCCCTCCCTCGCCTACGACCTTCAAGTTCCTTCCGTTGAGATCAACAGCCCCGCGCGCCCGCCGCTGGGGGTCCACTCTTCCTCGTTCCACAGCCACGCATTCGGCGCCGCAGGCTCTGCTTCATCCTCCATCTACGCGCCCAACGACTCGGATGCGGGCTATGTACCCCTCGGCTCGACACCCGCGTCGCTCGCCTCACCATTTGCGTCCGTCGTATCGAGCACTTCAAGCAACTCCGCCCTGGGGGCCCGCCCGGCCTCCCCGCCGGCGTGCCGTTCACGCCCATCCCGCCCGTCAGTCCGCCGGAGGTGGTCGCATACTTCCCCATCGCGCGCGCGATGGACGAGGCCGCGGCATCTCCAACCACCTCCGCCTCCGAGGTACAGCTCCCCCCGCACCCGCCGACAGACGAAGCAGCGCAGCGCGCGGCGTTCTCGGGCGCGGGGGACGGCGTGCTCGGGCGGGAGGGCGCGGGTTTTTTTGAAGCGTCCGAACACTCGGCGCGTCGGATGGGTTACGGCTGCGGCTCGGTTCTGTGGTTAACCAAGATCCCACTGTTACACATTGGTGTCTACGCACATCGCGGTCGCCTGAAGGACTTTCAACATCGCATGATCTCATACCCTTCTGGCAATTCCAATGCCCTTCAGTCCCAGTTAGAATTCTTCACCAAATCCGTACTCAGCGACAAGACTCTCCGTGTCTCCCGCAAAAACCACAGCAATCAATGGTCAAATACGTACGTAGCTACAATAAACATCTCCACCCGATCTGCTGCTTACACAACACCCACAACACCAGCCAGCCCGACAAGCGGTCCAAGCCCTGACCGGAATCTCCGCGCCTCCACCCCGTTGGATCTGGGAGCCTGAGACGGCGATGACGATGCGACGATGTCTTCCACGGCGCTGATATCCCCCGCAATCGCGCCCGTCGGCACGTCGTATGCGCCAGGCACGGGGCCGCGCGTGTCGCCGGGGGCGAGGATGGTCACCTCCGCGTCTGAAGACGCGGGGGGCATCGCACCCGTGCGAAGGAAGTCCTGCGCAATGCGCTGCGCGCGCGTGGCGGGGGGCGCCACTAGGATCCCGGTTGTCAGGTCAGCCGGCTGATAATAACCAAAGAAAGAGAAAACTGACAGAGAATGGAAGTGTGGTCGTCTCCGTGCCGGACGACGAGCGTGGAGTTGGGCGCCTGTGCCCAGGCGAAGGTGGCTAACTCCGTCGGCAGGCTGCGCATGGAGATGAGCGTAATGGAGGAGGAGAGAGGGTGGAAGGCGCACTTCAAGTCGAAGTCCGACGTCATCCACATGAGGGGGAGGTCCGTGGGCAGCGTGGGTTGCTCGGGGACGGGGAACGGCCAGGCGGAGCACATGAGGGCGAACTGCCAGATCTGCGAATAGACGATTTTCGCCGGGTCGCTCTGCGGGGCGCGCGTACGTGAGCGAGGGAAGACAGGATATAGGTAGCGACGCACGCTCTGTGAGTTGATGCTGAGGTTATTGAACCCCGCGAACGTCTTATCCGCATCGTCAATCTCTGGAACCAAGCATAAGTCACACAGGGACACGCAAGCAGGGGAGGGAGGGCGCACTGAAGTCCGAGCAGAGGAGCGGCCCGATGACGGTCTCGCGGAGGTCGCCGAGCGGCTCGTAAGCAAAGAGGCTCGCGTCCCCGTGGAGCGACGCGTTCACCGCGATGTTGAACTTGGGGAAGTCGGGGAGCGGGTTGAAGAGGACAGTGACGCCGAAGCGCAGGTCCGTCGACGTCACGGGCGTGTTGCAGCCTGTGCCAGGGCCGCAGTTTGGCGCAGGGAGCGGTGCGCTGATGGCTTGGGCGACGAGGGTATCCCATGCCTAATAAAATTCCGTCAGCATAGAGGCAAAGGCCGGGGAGAGGAAAAGAGACCTTAACGACGCTGCCGTTACCCTGACCGTAGAACGGGCATGTGGGGTCCGTGAGGCAGAATGCGTCCGCGCGCTGGAGGAGACGGTTTGCCGCGGCTACCTGGTCGGTAACCATATCCTGGAACGGCTGTGGTCCTGTCAGCATATGCACCGCGGATTATAAGAACACGTGGCGGTATACCATGCCGTGGGGAATGACCGCATCTAAGACAAAGCGGTCAACGCGGTCGGGGAAGCGGGCGGCGTAGGCCATGCCCACGAATGTTCCGCTGAAGAAAGGTTGCCCTGATCAGCGCGGACAGTAGGGTTGTAGCAAGGCAAACGTACTATGAAACCCCTGCGAAGCTGACCTTCTCGTATCCGAGTGCAGCGCGGACGGCGTCCCAATCCTGGATAACCTCGACTGTTCCGACATGCTCCATAATTCCGGCAGGGGTGCTGTTGTTCGTGCATGCCGCATAGAAGTTCGCCATGGCAGCTTGGTACTGGTCGTACTCGTCCTGAGAAGTGGGACTATGGCGATAGTAAGCAACCGGGAGAGCATACTTTGATCTAAACGCACAAAGCAAAAGAAATATTGTTGAAGAAGACTCCCGAGGAGCAGTTGAGCGGGTTGGAGAATTGGATTCCGCGGGTGTTCACCGCTGGCAACTCCAGAGTCAGCTGGATGCAGGGGGAAATGATTCAAAGACGCACCAAGGAAATCAAACTCCTCTAACCCCGCGAATGCTGCGCCGGCGGAGAGGTTGAGCGCGTTCGCCCATGCCTGAGATGCAGCATCCATTCCGGGACCGCCTGTGCCAAACTTAATACTTGCATCTGGTCAATCCGAGTCCCACAGCACACCTGCATGGCTGCAGAACATGCTCAGCGGGGGGAATGATAAAGCGGGCGAATCCGACGTACTAGATAATAAGGCCTGATGGCGTCTTGGGGCGGTTCATCGCGAAGCCAATCGTGATATTATTGGTCGCTGTGTCGAACGGCTTCGTGTAGTCCATTGGGACGTCCATCTCCCCGCAGAATAAAGTCGAGGGGAGGAATCCGGCGAAGCTGGTGCCAGTGATGTTCAGCGCGGGCTCGATCGGCTGCGGAACGTTCGCGTGGCAGTCGACCCAGCGAATCGTCTGGTTCTGGCGCGGGGCAGAGGGGTCCTGGCGGGGAACGACCACAGCTGTGGCCATCCCGAGAAGCGGAAGTGAGAGCAAGAGCAGCCGCATCCGGCGCAGCGGATGGTGAAGTGGGTGAACCATGGGAGAAAAGAACGTAGCGAATAAAATGTTTTTTCTGGGCGGTCGGTATGAACTCTTATGTACCGTTCGTCTGCAGCCATCAGCAAATCCTGAACAAACTTTTATAGACATAAACTGAACTGGGCTGCGGGAGCGCAGTTGAAGCCGATAGGTAACGGAGTTCATCAGAGGCGGTGTGATGTCGAGGGCGTGATTAACCGTTCTTTAACGAAATGGCTCCTCGTCGGTGCAATTACCCCATGCAGAGTCATCTCCTTTGTGTTTTTCTCTCGTCTCGCTCTCAAGAGTCTCAACCTCGCCTGTTGCTGCCCCATTTGATCAACCCCATGCGAGGCTAATATTCGCACTGTGGCGCAACCGGCA